CTCGAGAGTAAGAATCAAAAGTATGTGTGTGTACGTAAACACTCTGTTACGTAAGACTGAATTTTCTAGAAAACCTTTCCGCGACTATAAATATAACCAACGCGACGCTTCGAAGATAGTGTCTATTGGTAGTTCGCTATAATCAGTATGCTATGAACTTCGAAAGCTATAACTGTGATTTTTATAACTTAAGATATTTAACCAGGAGCATTTACAAAATTCGAACATTACAACTCATTTAACTTCAGTGGATTTTCATGAAAACATTACCTAACTTCAACAGTGGAAAAATCGGCGTGTGATCAGTGGGAGACAAAGCTAGCTAGCTTCCCGTTAAGTGAAATATATCTCCGTCAACTCGTAATTAACTCGCTCATCGTAAACCCTCGATAAGATATTAAGAAAATTCCAGACTAGAAAGAAAACTTTACATTGTTTGTAAGTTTGTGAAACTTTTGTTTATAAATCATTATTTGTAATAACGATTTGTAATGAACTGTTATTGCGAATTGTATTGTTGTGTGTATATTAAAACGTATTTGTGTTAAAAACGAAAACGGTGTGTATCAATCTTGTTGGCCAATATCGTAAGTTGACTAATATATCGGCATATATTTAAATACTAAATCCAAAGTACAATTTAACTAGAAATTTAAATTATCAGTTAACTCGGCTTCGGACTATTCGAAATTCTAATGGTAACGTCAAGAAAAGGGGTGTACCTAAAAATTAAATATGGTTGTATAGTGATATAAAATTTAAATAATTTCACTAAAATATCTTAAATTACATATTAATACTAAAAGAATAAGTTTGTGGGCAACGTTATTGGTCATTGAACCGTTAAGAACAATAATGTACAAGAATATAAGCAACTTAAAAATTTAATCTTTTTTCATAGTCAAAAATCAGAATTTCAGTATACATTAAGATTCTCGAGGGAGAAACTGTTTCAGATAGATATAATCAAATATAAAGTAGAAAACTTGTTAAACTTCTTTAAGTGCATAATAAAATAATAAGTTGAACATTCAAAGTTGAATTATAATATCACCAAAGTAAATGATATTAAGTAGAACATACTAATGAACTTATAATTGCTATACGATTTATGTAAATATGGAATATTTCCATAAAAAATTAACAAACATGATACTTTATATTTAAATAAACTAACGTTTCAATTATAATAATCCTTTATTATTTAATATAGTGATAAGTATATGATATGAAATATGAGAAGTTTACTAATTAGTTGTATTTTTCAATTTCTTACCTTTTTGTGTGTCTTCGAGCAACTTCTAACCAGGTATTTATAAAAAGAAAATTGCAAACTTGTTTCACGCAGGATTTTTATAGTTAGAATTTATTATTTTATCATTCTGACCTCTTAACGGTTGTTTCTCAGATGAGCTCCTTCTTCCACTATTGCGACAGTGATTAATCAGAGAAAAATTTCTTTTTAATTCCATTTAATCATATCTGGTGTTACATAACTAATTGTTTCATGAGCGTCTGATATTAAGCGTTTCTACTTCAAGTGTATAACTTAGCTGGCTTATTGAGTAATAGTGTCATGTATAGCTTCTTTTCGTCAGTACCTGTAGCTAATATGTATTTGAATTGTTATTACATAATATTTTTATAAAAAAAAGCTGTTTTGGATTGCTTGAAAATGAAGTATTTAAAATAGTTTATTTTAATGTGATGTTTATAGTGACAGTATACAATGCAATAATTGTTTTTTAGTTTTTGTGGTTTCTTTACATAAATAATATAAAAAAAAGTCATCCCTGGTGACCGGAATTAGACGAGCCTGAGTTTCTCTTCTTCACCCTCCGTTTCGGTTTTGATGTTGTTTTTGTGCATTTTAAGGACCGCACGCGGCCTAGTTGTTATCGTGTAAAACTGAGGTTCCGTGGCTCGCGTCCCGTTGCAGACAAAATAAATTACATTCTTCACTTTTGTGGAAGTGGGTGCGTTATAAGAGCGACAATCAACTTCCACTATTCAGTCTGACTAGAGTATCCCAAAACTGGCGGTTGGTGGTGATGACTAGTTGCTTTCCCTCTAGTTTATGACTTCAAAATTAAGGACAGCTAGCACAATTAACCTTCATTTAGTTTCGCGCAAAATTCAAAAGCAAAATTTTTCTCTTCACAGTCAAAGCAGATAAATACTTTGCACCGATTATTTTTTTTAGTTATAGTAGTAGTTTCTGATGTAAGTTATATTTTTCATTTTTCAATTGAGGTGTTTGCTGTTAGTTAATTTATTATTCAGAGATTCCGTAAGTGAAACATTGTAATGACGGTCATTGTGTTACTCAATATTGAGCTCTAATTCAGTTAGTGAGCTCAACAGTGAGTTAGTTAGAGTGTTTATTATCAATCGATTAGTGAGTACATTGTGCAGTTAAGTTAGGCATATGTTAATTTTTTGAGTTTCCACTAAAACTTTATTAATGAAGTTTGATCTACTTGTGAACGTAGTCTGTAGCAAACGTTATTGAATAAATAAATTACTTCATTATCATTACGTAGAATGGATTTGGCAGTATTTTTACCAAGTAATCCAAAAAACCCAGCTAATGATAGAACGCGTTAGAATACTTTTGTAAGAAGTTGGATTATTTTGGCAAAAATAAAATAGAACTTACACTAAACTTAAGATGACGACAACATGGACCCGAGGCGAGATCGAAAATTTTCTAGAAATTATGTAACTATGGAAATAAGACAGATACATAATTTAAAAGCGAATTATGAACAAAATACGACTGATTGCAGATAAGATCCTTGAAGCTATTATTGGATGTACAGAGGAATTACAGCAGCAAAATTGAATAAGTACAAAAATAAATCACTAAAGTACAGAAAGGCTGTAATGACAAAATTCAAAATGTACAGAGATCACATCAGCTAGATCTACGAGATAAAAAATAACACTAATGACAAAACAAATTGTAAAAATGAATTGGTAGATGTAAAGGTCAAAACTGCTACACTTCTTTCTGCATATGCCCAAGAATATTTACCTAAAATGCCATTTACTATAAAATATGAAATAGGAGAACCTACTTGATCTACATCTGTTATCACTACTACTGTACCATCTGTGACTGCAGGACCTTCCTGAGCTATTATTGTCATGATACTACCAAATCAAGTACCAGAAAATAGCTGGTCAGTTCAAAAATATAAACCAATTGATCAAACAACGGAGTATTATGGAAAGCTACCATGGAGGCATATCAGATTTAATTCATAATAATTTCTAGCATGAACGAGTAGAATAGTGAACAATAAGCTATTCATGTTGCTGCTTATATAAAAAGAGCAGCCTTGATAACATTAAATAACCTTCCAGCTGAGAGACCTAACAATTATTAAGCATTGATAACTGCATTATCCAATAGTTTTGGAGTAATATACCAGAAAGAGGTATCCAAAGCAAAATTTTGTAGCAGGGTATGGAGGAAAGAAGATGACTTATGGATTTACTGAAGATTTGGAAAACCTTGCTCAGTTATCTTATCTGGATGATCCACGTGAAATGATCACTTGTTAGCAAACGACCATTTTATAAACGCCATAACAGACAAGGATATGAGAATTAGGCTGAACCAAGGTATGTTTAATTTTCTTAGGGAAGCTATTGAGTTCTTGATAAAACTTGTGTCGATTAAAGTTGCAGATAAATAACTAAAGGCACAATCTAGAAGTCAAGGGGTTAGTATTCAACTCGAGTATTATTGAAATGTCAGTTCCCTCTCGCAATAATCTATAAGAACTGAATGTATTAGTTAGGTAATTAGTCACACAGAATACAGGAAATAAACCACAATACAATAGGTGTTTCAAGTGTAATTTGACAAAACATATTGCCAGGAACTGCACACAAAAGTCCAGAGAGAATAAAACTCCCTCACAGAGAATATCAGAAAAGGGGAACTATTATAAATGTAGTAAACATGCAAATTATAGCCAAGATAGTGAGGAATCAACAGTTGGTAACAAACTAAGGAGACAATACCCTAGAGATGAGTCTTACCACCTAACAGTATCAAAAGAAACAACAAAGAGCTAACCAGATATCGAAAAACAGAAATTAACTGCGCTTATGAGTTAAAGCTCAGCTGAGAATACTCCATCTACCCCAAATGAAATAAGAAGGTAAATATTTGAAGAAATTATTCCAAGAGTCAACGGGTTTGTTAATATTGGGAAGTATTTGCAGTATGTTGATCGGTACTGATTCTATAGCTGATCCAGTTTCGTAATGAAGGGTAAGAAATTGTCTCTAGAGATAAAACAAGAAGATGCATTGGCGCGAACAGCAAGTGGACATGAAGTTCTGCCTAGAAAAAGTTGGAAGTGATACTTACTGCATGATGTGTGAGTAACTGATATTGAGAAATAATTGATAGTAGGAACCGAATTTATACATACATGGATGCAAAGTTAAGCTAGCTTCAAATATCTTCAACGTGTATGACCAGGAAATCTTTTCTCACTACAAGTTAATTACTACAGCAGAAATTGAAATTCCAATGACAAGGAAGGTAGTCATTGTACCAAGAAATGAAATACTCGTACCAGAAAGTATTAGGAATAAATTTATATCTAGTGACTGGGACATAACAGAACCAAATACTCCAGTATGTCCTGAGGGATTAATGATTGATAGAACTCTCGTGGGTGTGAAGAATAAAGTTGTCATTATTAGGGCTATACACATCAAACCATAACATTTAAGTCTTGGTGGGACATTGCAAGATGTGAAGCTGTACAGGTAGTACTTAAACATTAAAGTACCTCAGAAGTAGTCACCTCTGAGGTAAGCGGAGGGAAGCCTGATTTCAAATTCTCACATAAGGATAGCTTACCATTTCACTTAGAAGAATTATATGACCAAATACTGAGTGCTTACAACTAGTCATAGCCATTGGTTACATTATTTTCCTATCGGATATTAAGATACCTGCTCCAATGGACCTCATGACTTAGGCTGAACAAATAATATATCTCAAGATTGATATTGGTGAATCAGCCTCAATACATCAGTTAGCCATGTGATTTCCATTTACAAAACAGGATGCGTGTTTCTAAGAAATAAAAGCCATGAAGAACAAGGACTAGTAGAACTGAACACTAATCCTTGGGCATCACCTATTGTACTTGTGAAGATGGATGGATTTATAAGGTTCTTCATAGACTAATGATAGGTAAATGAAGTCACAAAGAGAGATTCCAACCCATTGACAAGAATTTACTATACTTACTATGCTCTATTGTGATAAAAATGGTTTACAGCATTGGATCTTAAGAGTGGATATTAACAAGGGTAGGTCAGTGAAGCAAGCAGAGAGAAGACAGCCTTTACTGCGGAAATAGATTATGGCAATTTGTTGTGTTACCATTTGGATTATGTAATAATGCTTCTGCTACATTTCAATGAATAATGGTGTGTGCTTTCTCTGAACTACCCAGTAGTGTCGTATTCATCTTTTTATATGGCATAATCACATATAGGAAGACCTTTGATAATGCATATGACTGACTAAGGAAAATTCTGAATTGGTTGATATAAGAGAACTTTCAGCTAAATCCCAAGAAGTGTGAATTTTACCCTCAAAAGATTAGCTTCTGGGACATATAATCATCAAAGAAAGGGTGTCTACAGACCCATCTACATTGAATCTGTTCAGAATTGTCCAAAATCAGAAAACTTGTTTGAGGTAAGAGTATTTCTGGGACTATGGTCTAACTACCGTTATTTTGTAAAATTACTTTCCAACATAGCTTATCCTCTATATAAGTTACTTGAAAAACCAAATACGCTTTGTTGAATTGCTGACTGTGAACAAGCATTCAAGAACCTGATGAAAGAAATAACCACTGATCATTTTATATACATATGCCAGTGATTTTTGCAGAGGGAGCAGTGTTATGACAAGTTCAACATGGAAATGAACATGTAATTGCCTTCTATAGCAATGTAATAAATGCTACAGAAAGAAAGTATTGTATAACTAGCAAATAGCTACTAAAAGTTGTTCGAGCCCTAAATCATTTCCATCATTTTCTCTCTGGACAGATCATGCAGCATTGAAGTGACTGATAAAACCCGAGGGCCCAATAATAAATGATAACAAGTTCCAGGAGTATAATGTTAACATCAGGCATCACCCTGAATAGAATCATATAAATGTTAAGTCATTACCTCAAAGACCATATTTTAATGAAGAGTGCAAACACTGGGAAAAGAAGGAAGCACGGGATAGTAAAGAAGACCAACCTAAATTATAACAGAGAATAGTACAAGATGAAACATCTACAAGTGATGATGAAGAACTAAATGTGGTATAACACTCAACTGAAAGATATTCTAGTAAAAGGTAGGAGTTAAAAAACAATTATTCAAGTGCAGTGAACACTTGTGGCAAACAGCCGCTGACGTCATTTAGAAATTTCATGAAAGCTGAAACTCTAAAAGTTTTGTGTAGTAAGAAGAAAATGAGTAATGATTAAAAAATGACTTGAGTTATTCAGTGGATCAATTTAATATCAGTCAGTGAGTTGTTCACTTCTGTGATTCAATCAGTGAACTAAACAGTGAGTTAGTTAGCGTACTAGTTATCGATCGATTAGTTAGGAAATTGTAAGCTTAAAGTAGTTTCAAAGTTTCTTTTGAAACGTTATTTCTGAAGTTAAGCCTACAAGTGAACATAGCTTCTAGCAAACATTATTCAAGAAATATATTACTTCTTTGTCGTTATGTGGATTGGACTTGATATTATTTGTATTAAGTAATCCAAAAGAACCTGCCCAACAATAGAAGAATACGTTACAACAGAGGATTGCAGATGGTATTTGTCGCTAAACGAGTACCGACTTTTCTACTTTTCAAAACTAATATATCATCAAAGTGTAACAAAATGTTTTAAGCATCACTAATTTTGATATAAAATACTGTTATCTGGCCTATTTTTCTCTCCTTATTTATATATGACTAGACGATATACTATGTCTTTTACTTTGTTTCTTAAAGTATGTGTTTTGTCTAATATAGGGAAATACGTGTGGATTATCATGCACAACATTAGCGAGAATGACAGAGTTGCAATGACCATAATGATGGAAAGAGATGTGTTAAGATTCAAGTTAGTTAGTTACTTTACGCATTTTGAGTAAAAATTTGAAATCGGCTACATATAGATATGAAATATAACTGATCCTTATTTTAGAGTTATCACTGAGTGACGTAGACAGTCCTCGAGAAGCTTTGCGCGAAATACAGCAAACAAAAAATACTAATGTGTGTGACAAATATGTGAAAAGAAGCCCAGATAAACTAATAGCATAAAATGGTGTCAGCTTTCCGCGTAACAGAAACTTGTCAAGAATTTGTAATGAAGGTTGTAGAGGGTGCTCAAAGGGAAAAAATAACTAATAGATGCTTTTAAATATTGTGTTATATTTATGTGCATCTACTCGGATGGATTTCAGAGTTAGACAAAATACCAAAATTTTCGTTTTTGTTTTTAATACTATGTTTTGTTTATCTTATTTTCATTTTTGGTCTACGTTTTTTATAACTTGATTTTTCGAATTTGGGCACCGAAAATTTGTGCCCACAAGCGGTAACCTCTCCCAAATTTAGCCTGTATTACCTCTTAACATAAATAATAGAAAAAAAGTTACCATTGTGGTTCGAAGTATGAGTTTCACTTCCACATGTTTCTTCACATTCTTCTTTGGTTTTGAAGTTGTTTTCGTTCCCTTCACAGCCTCCGTAGATAAATTCTTCACATCGCTTGTCTTCCGAATTGTAGTAATACTTTCTGAAAGCGGCTCTACATGGGCCCGAGTCACTTGGAAGATGACAGAAATTATCTGGCTCTAAATGCCTACCGGCTTTTCTACCTGTCAGAACTGTAGAATATTATCGATTAGTTACTAGCACATGTTTTAAACATCCAAAAAGTGGATGACACTTACTGTTACCCAGTAATAAAATGCTCGTTATAAAATGTTTAGAACGATATCGATTGTCTTTTGATTTGCATGTTAAAACGAAGTTATAAGGTTTTTAATCTATTCTGTTCTTCCTTGTTACAGGTTAATTAGACGATATGTTTAAATACCAGCATTTAATTGGGCTTTATGATAACTGAATATATGAAAACTATATATATAACTCAAAGACAAGTTACCATTGTGATTCGAAGTATGAGTTTCACTTCCACATGTTTCTTCACATTCTTCTTTGGTTTTGAAATTGTTTTTGTTCCCTTCACAGCCTCCGTAGATAAATTCTTCACATCGCTTATTTGCCGAGTTGTAGTAATAGTTTCTGATAGCAGCTCTACATGGGCCCGAGTCACTTGGAAGATGACAGAAAGTATCTACCTCTAAATGACTACCGGCTTTTCTACCTGTCAGAACTGTAGAATATTATAGATTAGATACTACGTATGTTTGAAACATCCAACATTTTGACAGCATTTACTGTTACATACTCTGCTTTTCTTCCTTCTCAGATCACATTTCAGTAATATATAGTGTAATTTGCTTTGCCTGTTAAAGTGTGATTACACAATGCCTTGTTTTGATTTAACGTTGGTTAAGTATTTGAAAAAACGTGTGGGCTGCTATGGTGAAAATGAATTGACCAGCTCTGCTGACAAGAAACAGCGAGATGATAGAATCTAACATATTCAGTTAGAATAACACAGTTTATTACATAGGTAAAAATAAACGTGTTTTTAGAATATAATTACACTTAACATACTTTCAACATTTTGAGTAAAAATGTAAAATCGGCTACATGTGGATGTGAGAAATAATTAGTTTTTATTTTAGTTATTATTGAGTGAGATGGGACATGTGGAAAGAAACCTTTGTAAAATGAAAATACTATTTGCTTTCCATTTTGATAGCCCTGTTGTTAAGCGCCGCTCAACCTATTTGCCTGATAAGTAAGTGACTTAAGCGCTAATGGTATTTTACCCAACTGACCTACTGAGTTGTGGCAATAACAGAAAAATCACTGACGTGCCGTCAATGGTTTTTAATTAATAGCGTTTTTGAAATGTTATTATACACATTTCTTACAGGACTGACATAGCCTGGTGGTTAGGGCACTCGAACTTGCAGTGTGTAGATCGCGAGTTCAAATTCCGTTACCGAACATGTTTGGCCCTTCAGCCATGGGGGCGTTATAATGTGACGGTCAATCCCATTTTTTCGTTGTTAAAAGAGTTAACTAGCTGTTTTCCCTCTAGACTATCCCTTCTAAATTAGGGACAGCTAGCAGAGAGAGTCTTCGAGTAGCTTTGCGTGAAATTCCAAAAACAACATTGTCAGAATTTAAAAATCTGATCATCGCCAATTGTCAGAATTTAAAGGTTTTTACTTATACTTCTTAATAGTATAAATATATACTATGTTGTTGTTTGGCTTAGGATTCTTCGACAGTTGGTGTCTGTGATTCGTTAGCGATAAATTCAACGATGAATAAACAGCACGAACTTCACTTGTTTTCAAAATAATATATATTTTCAAAACAAGTTAATGTATGTACAATAAATTCTTCAACATTATAGATATTACGGACATACAATAAATACTATATATGTAATTCTCTCTTTCTTGTCAAATATCCACTTAGGTCTATTCAATTACCTTAGAATTTCATTGACAAGCTGAAGTATCTTCTCTGTTTCTATCGC